TCAAGGCTACGCAGCTGGAGCTGGGATATGGGGATCTACCCCTTGCTGACTCTTCTTCCAAATTCAGCCACCCTTCCCATCTCCTTTTCTATATCTGGGTCCAGGTGGAGACATTTCACCTACCAGGTCCCTAACTCTGCCAACTCAAGTTGTTCTTGGTCCTCAGAAGTCAGACCTGGAGAAGTAAATCAGCAGAGCACAGCTTTGAGCACCTCAGTGTCCCCCTGGCCCCTAGGCCCGTTCTCACTACTTCTGAGCTCCCAGATGTTGCTCACCCATGCTGAGGACCTGTGTCCCAGAGAAGCTACGAAGAATCTTCCAGGTCCCCAGCAGCCCAGGTCACACAGTGGGTCTTAGGGAAGGACAGGAGACCAGAGACCCAGCTGGAGTAGGACTCAGTTCTAAAGCCACAGTGGCCTTTGAAGAGCGGAGGGGGAGTGCCAGGGCCTCAGCATGGACAGCCACAAGCTGGCAGGGCTGAGAGCTCCCACTCTGTTGTCCACAAACACAGATGGGCTGGGAGAGTCAGAGGGAGGTCCTGGTGGAATGTGGGTCATTGTCAGCTGTAGGATTCTAAAGGCTCCTCAGGACTGCGGGGAATGAGTCCTAATGGAAACGCGAGGGGCTATGGACGTTCAGGTTTGGCAACTTTAAGACCCACTTCTGCCACTGGCAAAGTATAAGGTATGTCTGGGAAATAGTCCACAGATGGGAGTCACACATGGCCTTTGGGACTTGACTGGCCAGCCAACCCCAGTCAGTAACCTTGACCCTGAATCCGGATCTAGTCACTTTGAACACGCGGATGAAGCACTGGGTGGGTGTTACAACACTGTGACAGCTCTCAGGCTGAGGAGCCCTGGCTTAGGTCCTCCTTGGAGACAGAGGCTTGTTGGTAACCCCATTTCTCAGTCCAGGCCCAGATTCAAGGGTCAGCCTCAGGGGTCTGCAGCTCAGCGGCAGGGTTCTGGCTACCCACACCAGAAGGGTGGCAGGTGAATTATACCAAGGTGTGTGCATGTGTGTGTGTGTGGGGGGGAGATGGTGGGCTACCTGGGGGCCAGGCAGTGAGCCAATGACTCCAAGTGGACTGGCTCAACGCCACTAGGTGACTTGGCGCCAGCACAGCACGACTAGACAACACAGGGCCGCCTCCACAGCTTCACTTTCGAAGGAATCTGCCTCGCTGCTCTGTGGCCAGGCCAGAAACAATAGTGGGGGCGGGGGGAGAGAAACGACACTGTATCCAGGCTCTTCTTCAGCTCTCAGACCCCTGGCCACGCCACCCCCAGCATTCTTTTCAAAATTGACCTTCCCTTCCTCTCAGCACTGGGCGGAAGGTAGACATGGGAAAGGGGTGACCCTATCCCAGATGGGCTCTGCATGAGGCATCCTGCACCCTGGGGTCCCCGTACACCCAACTTCATGTGCAAAACAGGGTTTGGCCTTTCAGCCCATGTGCCTAAGAAAACTCCAAGCAGAGCAAGGGGCAGACCACTGGCTCTTCTGGCACCCTATATCAGTGCCTACTAGGGCTTTGGAGACCTATCACCAAGGTCCTAGCCAGAAACAGAGAGTCTGCACCCCTGGCCTGTTTGCTTAGCCGTTGTATGAGAAGTTTACCCCTACACTCTCCTCTCGGCAGCTGTAATTCTAGGCAGGCAGTAGACAATTCTAATTTAAGACAGTCTAGGAATACTGCAGACACCTACCTGGGCATTTGTTCATCTGCTCCATGGGCATCTAGGAAGCCTAGACCCCAAAGGCCACACCCAGCATGATCAGACACCTTCTCTGCTTCTCAAGCCTCTTACCCTCCAGAGTTCAGAGCAGCCAGTCCCTTGGGAAACCCCTTTGTCCCTGTGAGTGCAGGGAGCAAAGGGAGAAACTCCAGTCACTAGAAGGGCTTAAGGTAGGGCCTTTGGACTTGGAGCGCCTCAAAAGCAAGGCTCTGGTGCCCTCTGTTGGACACTTCTATGACTAGCCATTTCTGGCTATATTGTCCAGAATTCACAAACGTTTACCTCAAAACACTGAGGGACACCCTATTTGAGTCTGTGGGAAGACTCCTCAGGGGTCTCCTCCACTCACAACTAGGCCAGAGATCCACAAGCCAGTGTTTGGGGATGCCTAGTGGCAACTTTTCTGGGCAGGCTGACTTAAGAGCAACCTGGTTCTGTGGTGTTTCCCAGCCCTTGGTTCAGATCCTTGCTGGGCATAACGACCTCAGAGGGAAAAAGTGGACCTCAGCAGCCCCCAACCCACATTTCATGTCACTCAGGGTCTCTTTTAGGCCTGGAGAACACGATCACAGTAAACATCTATTGATAACATAAGAAGGCAAAGACCGTCCCTGGAGCTGGGCTGAGCTGCCAGTTCATCTGTGCCAGGAAGCAAGGCGATCTTGTGGAGCTAACCCGAAGGCAGCATTGGCAGATCATTTTAGGTGCCTGGAGACCTGTACTGTGAGTGCACAGCAGAAGAGTGGCTGCCCTGGCTCCAGGCCTCAGTCACCCTGTGTGTAACATTGGTTTGAGTCTCTCCATCCCACATATATGGAGCCGAACCACCTCATTAGACCAGGCAAGAGTACAACATGGGTATAATGGCTGTCCTTGCTAATACCCTGAAAGATCCTGGACCCCCAGATGGTAGGCAGAGGTGATGAGGGGCCCCAGCAAGGTTGGGGTTGTTAGGGATCAGGTCCCCATACAGCTCCAGTTCCAACACCAAAGTGACAGGCAGAACTTGATGAAAATGTTTATCGTTGTGGGCCCCGTGGACAAGGCAAGTCCTGGTTCCAAGGGCAGGCAGCAGCCTCTGTGCTGCAGGGCTGTTGTGTGCCTGGAAGGGGCTGAGTGAGGCAAGGTCAGCAGGAGCATCTGAGGCAGGTCTATAACTGACCTACATGGGGCAACCCAGGGGCTTATGGGAACCTCTGAAGTCCTCCGCTGGCATCTCTGGGGTTGGCACTCAGTGTGGTGCTGATCAAAGACCGAGTCTGACTCAATCTCTGCTCCCTGGGCACTGGGCCACTTTGGGTGACTGCTTCTTGTCTCCTGGAGGGATTGAGAGGCAACACACACCTGTCTCTAGTATTCTGCCTCCTCTCCTCTTCAAGGCCAAGAAGGAGAGCCCCAAACCAAAGTTTCAGGAGGCCCCAGGAAACCAGGAAGGTGGGGATGTGCCTCTGCCTGGGCAGGTTAAGGGTTCTGGGGGCAACCTGCCTCTCCCTTGAGGCCTGATCAAAGGCCCCAGGAATGAAGCCAAAGACAGAATTTCTGATATCTGGACCATACTTCTGAACTCCCAGAACCCATAGCAAGAGTCTACTGCATATTCGGCAAAGTTGGGCTTGCCCCACAGGCCCAAGGACCCTAAGATTCTTGTTCCCGTCGTCCCTGACTCATATGCTCTAGAGAGTTTGTAACCTGAATGGTGGTGTGCCACATCTGCCCATCCATCCATGGCCCAGGCAGCCATGGCCAATGGCTTTCTGGATGCTCAACAGATTCCCCCTCCAAACCAGTCTACTTCCTAGTTTCTGCTTCTGCTCTTGCTCTGCAGACTCACATACCTCCACTCCAGCAGGGTGCTCATCTCAGACTGTGCTAACTGACCACTGGGGCCTTCTCCTAGAAGAATCACAGCCACCTCCCTCTCTCCTCTTCCATGCTCAGTGTCCAGCCATCCACCCTCCCGTTCAGTTCTGGCCTCTTTTTCAGGGGCAGGGCTTGCAAGGGCCTATGACATTTCTCTAGGTAGGGGTGTGGTATTGTCACAGAGAGGAGGTGACTGGGTAGGTGTCTTCAGGGCTGCTCTAAGTGGCTTTCCAGCCACCAAGTTTGAGCAAGAAGCTTCCATGTCTAGCTCAGAGCCTTGTCACCCTGGCCCTGGGTTTAGCTCTCAGGGAGACACAGATTGGTTTGGCTAGGGTAGCTGGTAGGTCAGCCAGCCCTTGGGGTGACCAGGGTCACTAAGCTCTCATCTGCCTGACAGTTGCCACCCAAACTGTGTTCAGTGGGTTTTGAGAGAGAGAGAGAGAGAGAGAGAGAGAGAGAGAGAGAGAGAGAGAGAGGAGAGATGCTCTGTGTTGAGATTTCCCCAAAGACCTAGATGTTATGTGGCCTTTCCTTAGGATCACGGATTTTCCTAGAGGCCTAGAGGGATTGCTAAGCAGTCAGGTTCAAGGAATCTGGTGAGAGACCCTACTTAGTTGGAAGGAGAGGCTCAGAAGTGATAGGAGATCTCAGGCCTAGGCCTTGTATCATCTGGCTCCCTCATGGCCCACATTGCCTAGGACTCACCTCTGGGTCACTCCTGAGCCCTGGGGTTCTGAGGCTCCTGCCCAGTGCTGAGGGAATCCTTCTGTATGTCATTTCATCCATGTGGAATACCTCTCCTGTCCAGAGCACTAAGGGTGGCTTGGAGTGTCTGAGACGGGTTGGGGATGTTCTCAAAGAACCAAGTACCCCATAACCTTAGGTTCCCAAGCCCAGTTTCTGGTCCTTCGGGGACTCCATCTAAAATAGCCCTGAAAACAGAACTCAGGAAAGCTAGGTAGAAGCTTTTGTTAGAATATTCTGGTCCTCTTTCTTTTAAAAGTTTTCTGGGGCCCTTGAAGTTCCAGGGCTACGAGGCAATGAAGCACAGTTCTGAGCTGCTATCCGCGCTGTCTAAAGATGCCTAGATTTTCTCTATTCAGCCAGGACAATGCAGAATAAGGGCTATAGGTTACCTGAAAGTGTTGACCACTTTGGGGAGGGAATTGTCTATGTTCCAGTGGACACCTGTGGTTGCCCAGGGAGCCAAGAGGGAACTGGGAGTGCAGAGAGTCCAGAAGAGAGAGTCTTGGGGAGATCCTTTAGGAGCCATCATGGCCAGGCAGGTGAGGCTGGGGTCACTCCAGACATCCCCGCTCACATCCTATACACACATACACAGACATACAAACACACACACACACACACACACACACACACACACACACACACACCTTGTAATGCTCCTTCAGAGATTTTATTCATTGCAGGAAAGTGAGGACAAGGGCTGGGTGGCGGCGGGGCCTAGTTGCAGTAGTTCTCCAGCTGGTAGAGCGAGCAGATGCTGGTGCAGCACTGATCCACAATGCCGCGTTTCTGCTGGGCGACCTCCAGCGCCAAGGTCTGGAGGTCATCTGCTCCGGGGCCTCCACCCAGCTCCAGTTGTGCCACTGCCAGGGAGGCAGTGTCAGAGCAGGCCGGAGCATCAGCAGCACAAAAGCAAAGACACACAGGACAGTCCAGTTAGGAGCAGAAGAACAGCACCCTGCCTACCCCAGGCTTTCTCTCACCTTGCCCCCTGCTAAGTCAGTGTAGGTGTCAGGGACTGCATGTATGTGGGACAAGTCACTGAGCATGGACGCAAGGAGCTCCACACACCCTGCCACCATCCCCCAATCAGTGCAGTGCTGTATGGGGGCCCAAAATAGGCGCCTATCCTGGGGCCTACTCAAATGTCTCCAGAACCTAAGAGCCTGAAGGCAGGATTCTCATTCTTTCCTGGCAGCTGTCATATTTATCTATGTCCAACTGCCAAGGAAGTGTGCACCCACCTTCCCCCCAGTTACCCTGAGACCCTGTGAGGTCTTGAGGGTGAAGAAAACCAGGGGACAGAATTTTGGGGCAGAGCTTACCTTGTGGGTCCTCTACTCCACGTCGTGACTTGGGTGTGTAGAAGAAGCCACGCTCCCCACATACCAAGTAGAGCGCCTCCACAAGGTGGGAACCACAAAGGTGCTGGTTGACAAAAGCCTGGGCAGGGTTGGGTTCCCAGAGGACCAGCAGGGCCAGCAGGGGCAGAAGGCGCATCCACAGGGCCATGATGGGACAATGACCTGGAAGATAGGCAGGGTTGAGACTAACAAATGGCGCATCGAAGAGAGGAGCCCAGCACATCTTCCCTTAAGTACCGGGAGTCTTGGGCGTGGAGTCAGGCCAAACAAGGTGAGTACATACCTGCTTGCTGATGGCCTCTGATTGTAGCTGGTCAAGTAGGACTGGGGGCTACTGGGTCCCCACTAGTTTTATAGTTGAAAGCCCCTCCCCTCTGCCCCCTGGACTCTGTTGTTCAGCCCATTAAGGTCTCCCTGGGGTGGCTCGGCAGATGGCCAGAGGGGCTGAAGCTGCAGTTTCTGAACACTTTCCCCATGCTGGGTCTGCAGAAAGTTCTCTTTGGGCGTCAACACCTCTACTTAGCCCTAGGGTAATTAGAGTCTTAACAAGGGACAGGGTGGCCTAATGATCTAGTTCACAGCAGGGGGTATTGCCGCAGCTAGATTTAGGCCTTGACTGAGCAATTTCCACATCATTTCCAACAGCTCCATCTGTTGGGGGCCTGGTATCTCTTTCCCTAGGGGTTCACAGTCCCCATTGGTAGCCAAGTCCTTAGCTCAGCTGAGAACCCCTGCTCACCCACAGAGGGAGGAAGAAAGCAGAATTCAGGCAGCAAGATGCTTGTTGGTCCCTTCCCCTTTGTCTCTCCTTTCACAAGCCCATAGATCACTCAGGGGTTAGCTGGATTGGTGCCCTATGGTACACCCTCCTATCCTAATACCCCAAGACAAGCACCTGAAGGCCAGCAGGTCCCCACCAGTGAACATGCTTCAGAACTCAGAGTCTTTATCTTGATCTCTTAGTGCAGGCTCTACCCCAACTACAAAACCCTTCTCAGATTCCACTTGGAGTGGTTGGGGGTTCCTTGACCCCTCCAGTCCCTGATTTGGGACTGTCCTGTTTCCCGGCCAACCAGCAAAAAACCTTGGTGTAGCTGCATGAACTAGACCTCTACCTTACGCAGGGCTTTATAGCCACTAGACTAGAACTGGGGGCCCCTTACTCCCTGCTCCCTGCCCCCCAAGAAGTGCTGTAGCCATTAATACTCTGGGTATCTGGGACACTCCAGTGCACCCACTGGAGCAGGGGATATGTGGGTACCCCAAGAGGAGTGCAGGCAAGGACAGGGCTGGGGCAGTGGGGGAGGGGTGTCCTCAGGACCATAGAGAGGCTAGAGAGCCTTGTTGAGGGTCTCACTGGGGCTCCAACTTCCCAAGGAGTATTTTTTTTCCCAAGGAGTATTTTCTTTTGACAAGCTAGGCTTGTCGTAAACTCAAAACCTTCTTGTCTCATCCTCCCAAGTTCTGATACTCAGATATGTATCACTTCTTCTGGCTCTCCTTGGAACTTTAAAAAGGCTTGGTTTTTCTGTGGCATTTAAACGCTTTCTGGGGGTTCGGTGACATACAAGGATAACCCTGAGCATGCTTGCAGGGCTTTAAGCCTTCCACAGGCCCATCATAGGTGCTCAAACCTCTCCAGGGTTTCCATGGGGATCACATCTGACTTGAGTCTCAAAGGAGCTCATGAACATGCCAACACTGCAATGGGCTTACCCCACCCCAAGGTTGCAGCAGGGTTCACAGCCTAGTTCAGGGCTTCCCTGTGACGTAACGCCTTCCTTAGAGCCTCACATGGTTCAGCATCCACTCCCTGTGAAGGTGTCAGCGTGGCTCTGGGCCTTCCCTAGAGTATCAACAGAACAAATGCCTTCCCCAAGTCTCTGTGAGATTATCGAGCTTTCTTAAGGACAATGACACACAGAGACAGCTCCAGTTTCTCAGTGGTGCTGAGACCTTCTCTAGACATTTTTGAAGCTCACAGCCTTCCTCAGAGTCTTAATAAGCACCATGGTCCTACATTATCGTGGCTATTTCAAATCCTCACAGCCTTCCCCAGGGTACTAAAGGGACTTAGGTTTTCTCCAGGTGTTAGCGAAGCCTGGTCTGCTTGGGGACTCAATGGTGCTCATATTGTCTCCCTGGCTCTCATTCAAACTCAGGATATTCCTGAAGGCGTAAGGCCTTCTTCCCTAAGGTCTCATTGGGCTTCATTGACTTCCCAACATCTGAAAAGGATCTAATTCATTGGCTTCCTGTATTAGTTCCTTTCATATCCCTGTGAATGAATCCCCCAAAGAAGCAACTTTGGGAAGGAGGGGTTATTTCAGCTCAGGGTTTGAGGGGACATGGCCCATCATGGAACAGAAGGCATGGTGGCTGGAGTTGGTCTGATTGTGGCAGCAGGAGCTTGCAGAGGCACTGGTCACGAGGCGAGGTTAGACTGGATGCCAGCCTGGCCTGTGACCCTAAGGCTCACTCTTATGACCCTGTGTCTATCAGCTAGGCCCCGTGTTTCACAATCTTCATGAACAGTCCCACATGCTGGAGACCAAATGTTCAAACACGTGAGTGAGTGTGTGTGTGTGTGTGTGTGTGTGTGTGTAGAAGCTTCACACTCAAGCCATCACAAAAGGAACTCAGTGGGTCCCAAGACCTACTCCATGGCTGCAGTGGGACCCACAGCTTCTCCTAAGGTCTCAGAGGAATAGAGAACCCGCCAGGAATCTCAGTGGGGTGCATTGCTTCCTGGAGGGTCTCAACAGGTTCCAGGTTCTAAATGGTCTTATTCTCTACCCCGGGGTCCCAGATTCTTAATGAAGATTCTGCCTCCTACACTCAGTAGGGTTCATGGCTCTCTCCAAATTCCCGCTAACATGTTGTGAGTCATACTTTCCCAGGGCCCAGAAGGAACTAAAGCCTTGGAACCTCAGTGGGACTAAAGACTTCCCTAGGAGCTCGCGAAAGGCAGTCTTCCTTGGGATCACAAGGGATTGAAGGCCTTGCTTAAGATTTAACATTGTTCCATGCTCTTCTACAGGTCTCAATGGGGTTCACAGACTTTTCAAGAATGTCTGAGGTCTGAGGCCCTTCTACAGTGTCCTAAAGGTGCTTTCCTTTCTCCTCAGGGTCTCAGTAGCCTAGCAACATTTTCTAAGGCCTCAGTGGAACATGAGAATTTTCCCGAGTCTCAGCAGTACTCAAACATCACTCAGGTGTCTCAGTAGGGGAGAAGGCTTTCTCCAGAGTATCTGTGGGCTAGAAGCCTTTACCAGGGTCTCACTAGATTTCATGGCCCAAGGTCCCATGGCCTCAGGAAAACTCAGACTTCTGAAGTCTCAGCTCTTCTTTTACCTCTATGTTTTAACTAATTAATCAGCTTGTTTGTTTACTTCCAAATGTGGACGCCAAATGGCAATCCACAGGGCACGAGTCCCTCTTTCCACAAAATGAGTCCTGGGATAAGCGTAGGCCCTCAGGCTTAGTAGCAGACACCTTTACAAGCCGAGCCATCTTGTTAAGCTCAGATATCAGTACTTGTTAAGGGCCTAAAGCCTTTCCAAGGGTATCACTTAGGCCTAAAACCTATGGATAGACTTACCAGGGCTTAAGTTTTGTCCAGTGGCTCAATGGGAGCCCAAGAGCTTCTTCGTGTCTCAGAAAAACCTAAGGCCTTTCACAGAGACTCATCGGAACCAGGCTTTACCAGGGTCTCAATGGGGCCTAAGATTTTTCTCTACGCTCTTTTCTTAGGGCCTTACTGTAGCCAAAAACTTACCCCAGGGTCTCACTGTGCCTAAATATCATCACCAGGGTCTAAATGGGGTCTAATAACTTAGCAGGGTCTCACTAAATCCAAAGGCTCCCCTAGGGTCTCTGTGGCATAAGGTTTTCCCAGTGTCTCTCTGGGGCACAGTCCTTACCCAAGTTCTCCCAGGAGCTTACAGTCCTACAAGGGCCATAATGGGGACAGAGAACTTCTCCAGGGTGTAAGACCCCAGACTCTAAACTATCATTGAGGACTTAAGTCTTACATCAGGTGACCTTAGATGTTCTCAGGACTTTCCAGGTTGTCACTAGGTTCTAAGGCCATGTTCTCATTGGGTCTTAAGGCCTTGCCCAGGTTCTCACTGGTACTAAAACATTATCCAGGGTGTCGCCGGACCTAATTTTTCTCCCTCGTTCTCACAGGGTCTTTAAAGTATTTCACAGACTTTCACTATGTAGTAGTTTGAATAAAAATGGCCGCCATAGGCTCACACACTTGAATGCTTGGTCACCATGAAGTGCCACTTTATTGAAAGGATTAGGAGGTGTGGTCGTGTTAGTGTAGGAGTAGCCTTGCTGGAGGATGTGTCACTGAGGGTGGGCTTTGAGATCTTCAAAAGTCCAAGCCAGACTCAGTGGCTTTCTCTTCCTTCTGTCCACAGGTCTGAATATAGAACTGTCAGTTATCCTATCTGCCTGTGTGCATCATGTTTCCTGTCACAAGGATAATGGACTAAGTCTCTGAACCTGTAAGCAAGTTCCAGTTAAAACTTTTATAAGAGTTGCCATGGTCATGGCCATGGAGTCTCTTCACAGCACTAGGACACTAAGACACACCGGGGCTGAAGACCTCCCCATGTTCTCACCGTGGCATGAAATCTTCTGCAGCTTCTCACTGGGACTTAAGGCCTTTTATAGGTTATCACTGGAATCTAAGGCTTTCCTCAAATTCTCATTGAGAAACAAAGCCTTCCCTATGTTCCCACTTGGGCATAAAACCTTCTATGGGTTCTGGCTGAAGTTTAAGGCATTCCTCAGTGTCTCAATGGGACCTTAAGATTTTCCCTATAGTCTCATAGTATCTTAAAGCTTCAAGTTCTTACCAGGGTCTAAGGCCTTCTCCAAGTTATCATTAGGGCCTAAGGCCTTCCCAGGTTCTCATTCCAGGGCTGAAGGCATTACCCAGGATCTCACTGGACCCCACAATTTTCCCCCAGTTTTCAGAGGGTCTCTAAGGCCTTTGACAGATTTTCACTGGGTCTGAAGACTTTCCCTATGTTCTCATTGTGGGTTTTAATCTTCTGTTTAATTTTCACTGGGGTTTAATTTTTCTAGAGGTTCTAATGGGATCAAAGCCCTTCTCCAAAGTCTCACTGAGTCTTTGGCCTTCTCCAGGTTCTCAGTGGAGACTAAAACCTACTATAGGTTCTAACGGGAGCCTTCTGTCTTCTGAAGGTTGTCACTGTGGTCTAAAGCCTTCCCCATGTTCTTATTGAGATCTAACATGTTATGCAAATTCCCACTGGATCTTAAAGCCTTGCTCAGGTTCTCACTGGAGCTTAAGGCAATACCCAAGGTCTTACTGATACATAAAA